ACCGGCAGCGAGGGCAGCAGGCAAGGAAGGATTATCCTGCCCTGCCCTGCCCTGCTCAGGTGACATCCCACCTGGAGCACTGTGCCCAGCTCCGGAATCCTTGGCATGGGAAGGACATGGAGCTGCTGGAACAGGGCCAGAGGAGGCCATGGAGATGCTCCGAGGGCTGAGGACAGGCTGGGAGAGAGCTGAGGGAGTCCAGCCTGGAGAAGGGAAGGCTCCAGGGAGACCTCAGAGCTCCTTGCAGTGCCTAAAGGGGCTCCAGGAGAGGTGGAGAGGGACTTGGGACAAGGGCCTGGAGGGACAGCACAAGGGGGAATGGCTCCGAAGTGGAAAAGGGGAAATTTAGATGGGATATTAGGGAGAAATTCTTTACTGTGAGGGTGGTGAAGCATGGGAATTGATTTCCCAGAGAAGCTGTGGCTGCCCCTGGATCCCTGGGAGTGTCCAAGGCCAGGCTGGATGGGGCTTGAAGCAGCCTGGCCTGGCGGCAGGTGTCCCTGCCCAAGACAGGGGGTTGGCACCGGACGAGCTCCCTTCCACAATCCCAAATCATGGCTTTCGGCGGTGACGTCATGCATGACGTCACACCGCGATGACGCCACCGCCCTCCCGGCATGCGCGCCGGGGCCGGGCGGGGAAGGGGCGGGGCCGGGCGGGAGGGGCGTGTCGGGGGCGTGGCCTCCTGTCCCCTCCCGGCCGCCGTCGCCGCTCCCCGCGGGCCGCAATGGCGGGAGCGGCCCCCGGGCCCGGCGGGCGGCGGCGGCTGCGGGACGACGGGCTGCGCACCTGCACCTCCGCCGAGCAGGTGTGCGGGGCTCGGGGGGCCGCTGCGGGGCTCGGCGACGGGGCTCTGGGAGGGCCCAAGAGTGGGGTCGCCAGGCTGCAGCGGGACTGGGGTGCGGGGTCTGCGGTGCCGGCCCTGGGGGCTGCCGTGGCGCTGGTGTGTGGGGTGCCGGGCTGCCGTGGGACCGGCTGGTCCCTGCCCCAGTTTCCCCACGCCAGCCGCTGGCCGCACACCCACCGCTGTCACAACAGCTCGGTCACCCGGAGGGGGGTGTTTTGGGGGGCTCGGGGGGTGCTGCCACCCACCAGCCGCTGCAGCCCCCGGGGGACACCAGCCAGACCCCCTCCTCCCGCCCTTTGTCCTGATCCAGCCGCTGGCAGCTCCCCTGGGTGCCGGGACGGGGTAAAAAGTGACTGCTGGTTTCCCAATCCTTGAGATTCCTGCTCAATTCCATCCTGGCAGGACACAGTGCCATGCACGTGGGTGGGAGGCTGCCCCTCCCAAACCCTGAGGCCGATCCTGGAGTATTTCCTGGAGGATTACTCTGGATCCTGAGTCGGGGGTGTTGGAGTCCCTGGTTATCCCAGCGTGAGTGGGAGGAGCGTGTTTTCCATGGGGGTCCCAGGATGAACCAAACTCCAGCTGGATTTGTAAAGCAGCACCAGATCGTGCTGAACTCTGGCATAATTCAGGGCACAAAGCTCTGGCAGCTCCCACTTTGGTTTTACTGGATGAGAAGGGGCCATGAGTCGGATAAAGCCCTGGGATGGGGTAGAAGCTGGGGGGCTCAGTGGGGATCATTTTGGGATGTGCAGAGCCACTTCCCAGAGCTCACCACAGTCTTTATTCCCTCTTTCCCTGCCAAGTCCAAGGTGGAGGACATTGTGCAGGAGGTCTATGATGCCTACAAGACAAACCATCACTCCTCGCAGTGAGTCCCAGAGTTCCCAATATACATAAATAATTCCCATCCCAAAAAAAAGCAACACCTCCGGCTGTGGTGGGATCCTGCCTCTCCTGCCATTGCCCCCCTGCTTTTCCAGGCCACCCTGCCTGCTCATCCCTGTCCTCCCTGTCTCCCAGGTACGTCCTGCAGCGGGAGAAGCATTTCCATTACCTGAAGAGAGGCCTCCGGCAGCTCACCGAAGCCTATGAGGTACCGGGAATGCCGGATATCCCGCCCTGGAGCCGCTGGCTGGGGCGAACCCCTCACCCCGGGGCTGTCACCGGGATCATCACCAGAGGTTTTCCGGCCCCAGAGTGGACACAGCATTCCCTGTGTGCTCGTGGGATGCAGTGATGCTCCGGGGGTTCCCTTTCCCGTCCCCTCACTCCTGCCTGCTCGTGCAGCACCCTGTGTCCAGTGCCACTGCCTGACTGTCCCCTCTGTCCCCTCAGTGTCTGGATGCCAGCCGCCCCTGGCTCTGCTACTGGATCCTGCACAGCCTGGAGCTGCTGGATGAGCCCATCCCAGAGTCGGTGGCCTCTGAGTAAGTGGTGGGAGCCAGGGAGGGGACCCCCACCCTGCCATGGCCAGCGTCCCCACGGGCCACCCGCGTGACTCCGGAGGTGCCACCTCCCGCTGTCCCCGGAGCAAAGGAGTGCTTTGTCTCCCTGTCGCCGTCAATGCCGCCCATTCTTCCGGAGGCTCCCTCGTGACGGCAGAGATGGGGGGGTGACACCCCCGGCTCCGGCCTCGGCGGGGGTTCACGGGGCTGGGAGGGGACATATCGCCCTGCCAGGGCGACACAGGTAGCAACGAGCCCCTTGCCCACTTTCCTGCAGCGTCTGCCAATTCCTGAGGCGCTGCCAGAGCCCCCAGGGTGGATTTGGAGGGGGTCCCGGGCAGCACCCCCACCTCGCCCCCACCTACGCCGCCGTCAACGCGCTCTGCATCATCGGCACCGAGGAGGCCTTCGGCATCATCGACAGGTCTGGGGGCTGGGGGAGCTGGGGGGGATGTGGGGGGTGTGTCCCCCTTTCCTCACAGCCGCTGGCTCCTGCAGGAAGAAGCTCCTGGAATACCTGTACTCTTTGAAGCAGCCGGATGGCTCCTTCCTCATGCACGTGGGTGGAGAGGTGGACGTCAGGTGGGTGAGGGCTGTTTTGGGGGGCTGGGGCACTTTTGGGGAGCCAGTGCTGGGAGCTGGTGATGATTTTGGGAGCCGGTATTGTTTTGGGGAGCTGGTGCCATGGCGATGAGCTACTTTGGGGTGCCGTAGCATGGGGCTGGTGTCAGCAGCTGGTGCTGTTTTGAGGAGCCAGTGTAATTTTGGGGAGCCAGAGCTGCAGCAAGGAGCGGGTGCTGCATCCCTGCGTGCCCTTTTCCCACGTCCCTGTGAACCCTTTTCCCGCAGGAGTGCCTACTGTGCCGCCTCAGTGGCCTCACTGACCAACATCCTGACACCCGCGCTCTTCTCCGGGACGGCCGAGTGGATCGCCAGGTGAGATTTGGGGACGGGAGGGGCACATGGGATGGCATTCCCGGCACCGGTGCCACCCTGACCCTGCTCCCACAGGTGCCAGAACTGGGAGGGCGGGATCGGCGGCGTGCCGGGCATGGAGGCGCACGGCGGCTACACCTTCTGCGGCATGGCCGCGCTGGTCATCCTCCAGCAGGAGCATCTGCTCAACCTCCGGAGCCTGCTGGTGAGTGATCCCTGCCCGGGGCACGGGGTGTCCCATCCCACTGGCGATCCCTGATCCCACACTGGCTCCGATCATCCCGCAGCACTGGGTGACCGGGCGGCAGATGCGCTTCGAGGGCGGATTCCAGGGCCGCTGCAACAAGCTGGTGGACGGGTGCTACTCCTTTTGGCAAGCCGGGCTCCTGCCCCTGCTCCATCGGGCACTCCATGCCAGGGGTGAGTTGCCATGGGCTTCCTGTGCTCCCCAGAATGGCATCTCCAGGGATTTGACACCTCCTCCTGGTGTTTCTCCTCCGGATTTCCTCCCAGGTGACACAGCGCTGAGCATGGCGCACTGGATGTTCGACCAGCTGGCACTGCAGGAATACATCCTCCTGTGCTGCCAGTGCCCGGCCGGGGGGCTGCTGGATAAGCCAGGAAAGTGAGTGACGGGGGGAACACAGGGCTGCCCAGCCCCCCAGGCTCCCCCTCAGCATCCCGATGTGTCCCTGCACGCAGATCCCGGGATTTCTACCACACCTGCTACTGCCTGAGCGGGCTGGCCATTGCCCAGCACTTCGGAAGCGGAGACCTCCACAACGAGGTGGTCCTGGGTATCCCTGAGAACTGCCTGGTAGGTGCTGGACATTGCTGGGGTGGGCAGGGCTGAACTTCCAGGGCTCCACAGCGCCGGGAAACGTGGATCCGATAGAGATAGAGAGAGCTGGGATTCAGCCTGGAGAAGGGAAGGCTCCAGGGAGAATTTAGAACCACTTCCAGTGCTTAAAGGGGCTCCCAGGGAGCTGGAGAGGGGCTTTGGACAAGGGCTTGGAGTTACAGAATAAGAGGGAATGGCTCCAAAGTGAAAAAGGGGAAATTTAGATGGGATATTGGGAAGAAATTCTTCCCTGTGAGGATAATGAGGCCCTGGCACAGGTTGCCCAGAGAAGCAGTGGCTGCCCCATCCCTGGAAGCGTCCAAGGCCAGGCTGGACAAGGCTTGGAGCAACCCGGTCTGGTGGAAGCTGTCCCTGCCCACACTGGGTTGGAATACACAATACTTAAGGCCCCTTCCCATGCCAACCCTTCCAGAATTCCATGACTAACCTCTTCCATCCCTCTTTCTCTCCCACAGCAGCCCACACACCCCGTCTACAACATTGCCCCAGAGAAGGTGGCGAGGGCAGTGATGCACTTCCTGCAGTATCCCGTGCCCAGCCTGGATCCGGCACCCACTGCCGACTAGGGGGGGGTGTCCCGCTGCTGCCTGGGGGTCCCACAGCCCCGGAGTGTGCAGCCCAGCCCATCCCAGCCCATCCTGTGGCGTGGTGGCCTGGCCGGCACAGCGAGGTCCTCAGGGTGCTAGCAATACCAAAACCCAGCCTGCCCCGGGCCGCGCCTCCCGCTGCCGTCCCGGCCGGAGCCAGGTGGGACACGGGCTGTGGCAGAGCTTTTTGGCATCAATAAACCAGAAGTGACACCCTGCCGTGTGCTGGGGGCCCTGGGGACACGGGGCAGGAGGTGACACCGTGTCCGGCTCTGGTGGCACCACCTCCCTCATTCCAAGAACACGCGGTGACCACAGGGGAAGATAAATTAAGTGGAATTTTGGCTTTTTTTTTTTTTATTATTTATAGTCTTATAGTAAAGGGAAGCCTTAACTTGCAAGACAACTCTGGGCAGTATGTACAACATACCTTAAATCCATGGAATGGCATCAAAATGGGGGGAAAACGGGCACCTACGGGGCAGGGACGGGCCACTGGAGTTTGGATAATGCCACGGAGGTGGGAAGGGGCCAAAGGAGGGGAAAAGGAGGAGGAGGAAGAGGGGGGGGGACAGGACCCCCCAAGCCCGGCTCTGTGCCAGGTCGTGCTCCGCCGACTTGGGCAGGTGGAGTTTGCACACGGAGAAAATAAATAGGGAGGCCCCCCCCTCCCCCAGTACTTGCTCCCTTTTTTTGGGGGGCTGCCCGGCTCCTCCCCGCTCCGGACTGCGCTGGTCCCCGGCTATAAATAGAAATGCTCCTATAAAACCAGGAGGGACAGGGGAGGGGGGTCACTAGCAAGGGGGGGCAGCAATAGGGGGGTCTCCCTGATCCCCCCCCAAGTCTTTCGGCTCGGCCTGACCGGCTCCCCCCGGGGCCGGTGCGGTAGGAGCAGGGAAGGGGCCGGGGAGGGCTGGAAAGCTGCAGTCCGAGAGCTTCTAGGAGCGGAGGGAGCGAGTCCTGCCGCGGGCCGGGGGTCGCCAGGGGGGCCTAACTGGCCTCCATGCGCAGCTTCTTCCTGCTCTGCGGCTCGTCGGGCTCCGAGTCGGAGCTGGAGTCGGAGCCGCCGTCGAAGGCGGAGATGGCGCTGCCCTTGGGGTTGGTGTAGAGGCTGTTGTCTGCAGGGTAGCTGGCCTGGAGCTGGGCACTGGAGCGGGCCTTCTCCAGCGCACGCACTGTGGGGACGGCACGGTCACCCTGCGCCCGGCCCCCGGGATCACAGCTCCTGCCACACCCCGGCTCCCATGGGATCCCCCGTCACAGCTCCTGCCACACCCCAGCTCCCATGGGATCCTGCATCACAGATGCTGCACACCCCAGCTCCCACCAGCTCCTGGATCACAACCCCTGCTGGACCCCAGCTCCTGGATCCCAGACCTTGCCAGACCCCGTCTCCAATCGGATCCCAGCTCCCACCTTGCTGCTCCAGCAGCGCGTTCTGCCGCTTGAGGTCGTCGATGTCCTGCTGGTGTGTGTGGTTTTTCCGGCGCATGTACTGGATGTACTCTGTGGCTTTATCCAGGATTTGGGCCCGGGATGCCTGTTGCAATAGTGGGAAAAGCCAGAGGCAAGATAAAGACCTAGTCCAGTGGGAAAACCATGGGATTTCATCTGCCTCATCCCACCCTGGCTCCACAGCCTGGCTCTGGTCTTCACTGGGGACTCCCGTGGTGGGACAGAGCCTTGGGAATGTCCCAAAACACGAAGCCTGGACTCTGGGTGGGCGTGTGTCCGTGCTCCCAGCACGCTCCATAAACTCACCTTCTCTCCCTGGAGCGAGGGCACGGAATCCCGCAGGCTGTGGAAGCTGTCCTTGATGTGGTCCCTGCGCTTGCGCTCCAGCGCGTTGTGATGAGCCCGTTTGTCGGCCTAGGAGGGGGGGACAGGGGTGGCACTGGGGGAGGCCACCACCTGCACCCCCAGAACTCCTCCTGGGAAGCGCTGTGGGAGCCCGGCTGCGCCCCTGGGGCGGCTCCGCGGCCGTGACGCCGCCGGCTTAGCCGCGAGGGCGGGGAAGGAGGCGGCTCCCGGTGCTTTCGGTTTTCCCGGCTTCCTGCTGCCGGGGCAGCCCCGGGCTCCGGAGGGGGGGTAAAGCACCTTCGCCCTGGAACGTGGTTTCCCCCCCCACCAAAACAACCAGGCACAAGCCCTCCTCTGCCAACCCCCTGTATAGTACACCCCTCCAATACCTCCCAAATACGGCCCCACCCCCCCTAAATTGACACAGCCCCACACATTCTCCCCCTCAGACCCTCCCACTTTACCCCAAAAGACCCCGCACTCCTTCTGCCCTAAAGAGCCCCAGATCCCTCTCCACAAGTCCCGCAACCCCACTGGCGACCCTCCCCATGACATCCCCATTCCCGCAGGACACCCCCATACCCCTTTTCCCCCACAAGACTCCCGGCCCCGCAGATCCCCCTGTGTGTCACAGCTCCCGGCAGACCCCAGGCCCCAAACGTGTGTCCCCCCTCAAGAAGAACCCCGACCCCACAGGATATCCCCAAACTCACCCTCCCCTTCCCCAAGACCCCGTTCCCCCCCGATCCCCTTCCGTGTCACCCCCTCCCCAGATCCCCCCCTCACACCCCCACCCACGTGCTCCCGATCCCGGGGGGGGGGGTCCCCCCAGCGACCTACCGCGGACTGGAACCTCGGCTGCTCCTCCTGAGGAGCCCCGACCCGGGCGACGAGGAGGAAGAAGAGGAAGAGGAAGAAGATGGTGGAGGGGGGGGCGCCGCCATATGAGGGAAGAACACACACAAACCAAACGTTACCCCATTCCCAGCGCTCCTAGGGCGGGGAACGGCTGCGGGGGGGGTTACCGCGGGGCTGTCCCGGGACCGGGGACCCAACTCACGTCGCTCTCCACCTCGATGTCATCGTTGTCGCTCATCGCTCCCGCCCCGGTGAAGCCGCGGGCCGCGCCGCCACAACAACAGCCCGCACCGCGCGTGCGCGGGGGGCGCTGCGGGCAGCAATGGCGCCGGCCGGCGCGAGGGACTACGGGAGTTGTGGTTTGGTGTGAAGCGGCAGGAGCTTCTTCCGGCGCGGGACTACAGCTTCCGGCGCGCAGCGCGCTGCACGCCGGGAGTCGTAGTACTGGTCTATAAAAGGGCGTTGAGGGGGCGGCGCGAGGCCTTGGATGGAGGAGGTGAGTGCGGAACGGACGGAGGGAGGGGGTTTATTGAGGGAAAAGGGGGGTGGGAGGGCTCGAGGTTGCAATGGAGAGGAGTGCGGGGGGGGGTGTCTATGAGGCCGGCATGGAGGTTGCAGACTTAGCAAGGGGGGCTGTGGGGTCGGTCCGGGGGGCTGCAGGTCTGCCTTGGGTGCTGCAGGACAATGGCGGGGGGGGGCTGCAGATTGGCCTGGGGGGCTGCAGGTTTAGCAAGGGGGGCTGTGGCCCTGGTCTGTGGGTCTGCCCAGGAGGGTACAGGGTTGCCCTGGGGGGGGCTGTCGGCCTGCCTGGGGGGGCTGCAGGGTTGGGCTGGGGTGCTGTGGTTCTGTCTGAGGGGCTGCACCCCAGCTTAGGGGACTGTAGGCAAGACCTGCAGGGCCGCGGGTCTGCCTGGGGGTCTGTACCACAGTCTGGGGGTCTGTGAGCCTCCATGGGGGGCTGCAGGTCAGTCTGGGGGCCTGTGGACCTGACCTGGGGGCGCTGTGGGCTGCTTTGCTGGGGGGGCTGCAAGCCTGACCTGAGGGGGTTTGAGGCCCACTGGGGGGGGGTTTGGGCATCCCCAGGGAGGGCAATGGCCCCGCTCGGCGCTTGAGGGCGGGGCGGGGCCGGGCTGTCTCTATCCCAGCTGCTCCCCGTCCTCTCTGGGCTGCTCGTCCCCGCGGGCAGCCCCTGCCGGGCTCTCCCTGCCGTCCTGCTGGTCCCCGCCGTCCTCGGAGCCGGTCTCGTCCGAGTTGTCCTCCTCCAGGTAGCGGTACCCGCAGGGCTTGTGGCGTGGGCGCGGCAGGCGGGGCAGCCGGTATTCCACGCGCCGCGCCAGCTTCCGCTCCATCCACAGGTACGTCCCCACCGCCACCACCAGCGTCAGCAGCAGCATGGACAGCTTGGCCTGCGGCACAGGGAGGTTTGGGATCCGGAGAGCTTGGAACGTCCCAGGGCTGGGCTGGGGCGCACCTGGGGCTCACCTTCATGGGCAGCCCGGACGACAGGTAGACGGCGAAGATGGCCAGGGCCTGCCACCAGTGGTAGATGGTGAAGATGAAGTCTTGGCGCTCCTTGTTCTTGTACAGCATTCCCAGGAGGACTGCGGCAGAGACCAGAATCAGCGCCCCCTTCCCCTGCTGTGGTCCCCTTGACATGGGGGACCACGGGACAACCACAGTGGGTGTGTCCCGCAGTGCCAGGGTGAGTGGGGAGAGGACGTGTGGAGAAGCTGGGGGCAGCCAAGGCATTTTGGGCACTGCCAAGGCTGCTTTTGGGACCACCACCAGTGATGCTTTGGGGATATTGGAGACATTTTAGGGACCACCAAGGCTGTTCCATTTTTTTTTCCCCCACCACTCACTGCTGATTCCGGTCTTGTTGAGGGTGCTGCCCATGCCCCAGAGCGCGGCGACGATGTAGAGCAGCGGTGCCTGTGCCTGCTGCCGGGGCTCTGGCGCCCAGCAGAAGAGCAGCACCAGGAGTCCGGCGTGGATGACGGCCCCAGCCAGGAGTGGGATTTGCCGGCGCAGGCGCAGCATGCTCAGGGCCAGGCTGGAGCACGCCGAGGCAGAGAAGCCGTAGGCCATGAGGAGATACGCCAACTTCTCCAGCCCCAGGGTGCACACGCCGTAGTTCTGCAGCGAGGGCGGGCTCAGTGTCACGCGGCCCCGCTCCCTCACCCCCCCCCACCCCATCCCAGGTCCTACCAGGGAGAATCCGGTGCAGACAAAGAGCACCTCGAAGCCGCTGTAGATGAACAGCGGCAGGAGGTGCTGCAGGCGATAGTCCCGCATGTGCTTGAAGGGCAGCTGGAAGATGTTCCCCCAGCCGATGCTGCGCATGTCGATCTCCTCCATGGGCCGGTACGCGGCGCCGCACAGCACCAGCACCTGCGGAATGCCAAAGGTGAGACGCTGCCCTCGCCCAGCCCGGCGCCGTCCCCTCCTGCCCGGCGCTCACCACCAGCATGGCGAGGAAGGCGGCGGCCATCAACGCGCTCTCCACGACGATGAGGTTGACGCTGCGGGGGAGGCTCTGCAGCACTGTCTTGTTGAAGCCGGGCAGCGTGCCGTGGCTCAGGGTCCCTGCCGGGGGGGCACACGCCACGGTTAACCCCAGCGGGGGGGGGGGATAGAGGCTCCCGGTGCCGCCTCGTGCCCCCGTGGCCTCACCGCAGTGCTTCACTGCGAACAGCGTGTGGTTGAGCTGGTACAGGTAGTTGTTGAGGAAGAAGACCATGGGCATCTGAGCGCAGACGAAGCTCAACTACGAGATGTAGGGGGGGGGCAGGCTCAGTGCTGCCGATGCGGCCCCCCCTGCCCATCCCGTCCATCCCACCGGCGCTCACGTGGAAGCAGGAGTAGAAGATGGTCTGGAAGATGATGATGTAGGCGTTGCAAGCGTCCCGTGGTGCCCGCACCCTCTCCTGCTCCTCCTTGTAATTGACATACTCGTAGTACTTCTGGGCCATCCTGCACGGCACAGCAGGTCAGCTGGCACCCCCCGTGCCCCCCGCCCGCCCATCCGATGCCTACCGCGTGATGTAGTTGCCCATGGAGGCCCAGAGGGGCACGATGACCATGCCGATGGCCACGGCGGATGGCACCAAGGTGTAGTAGCGCTCCCAGTAGTTGCTGGAGACGAAGAGGGCGTAGATGCCCACCGCCAGGAACATGGCCCACTTGGTGCCGAAAAACCTGCCGGGGCGAGGAGCAGGCAGTGTGGGCGGCCGTGCCAGTGCACCGTGCCAGCCGGGAGCGCGGCGGGGCCGTACCTGATGAGGATGGGTGTGTAGAGCAGCGCCGCCACGGGCGTGACGTTGATGCCCATCAGCACCTTGTGGTCGATGTCCTCCAGCTGGATGTTGCTGTACTTTACCTCCCGGTAGGTCTCGTCATAGTGAAGGATCAGCTGCATCTGCAGCAGGCCTGCGGAGGGTCCAGGGGTGGTCACTGCGTGCTCTGAGCACCCCGGATTGCTTTGGGGACCCCTGAGAGGTGCCCATACCCAGGTATACGCCGTAGGTGAGGGTGCCCGCCAGACTGGCGGCCACCACATTCTTGATGACACCGAGACGCTTGCGGCGGAAGTACTTCTGCTCCTCCTCCTCCTCATTGTAGTCGGGGTGAGCACCCACAAAATCGTCCAGCTACAAGTGACCCCGGTAGTCAGACCTTGGGTATGGCCACCACAGGCCTGCCCCCCCCCCCCAGTTCCCTCCCCCAGCCTCACCTGTGTCTCTGTCCCCTCAGTGCCCAGCCCAGCACCTGGCATTGTCTTGGCCCCATCCTGGCAGCAGTCGGCGTCCTTCTCCATCACTGCTTCTGGGGGGACCCTGGATGGTGCCAGGATGGGGGGGGAACCTGTTGGCACCCCAAGTCTTGTACTCATGTGTCTTGCACCTCTGTGTCCTTCACACCCAGACCCTGCACCCCCTGACTCTGCACCCCTGTGCCCAGCACCCCCGGACCCTGTGCCCATGTGCTCTGCACCCTGAGAGATGCAGCCCCAGACCTGCACCTGTGACTTGTACCCCCAGTCCTTGTACCCCTAACCCAACCCCTGCACCCACGTACCCAGCACCCCCAGATCCTGAACCCATGACTTGCACCCCCAAATCCTGCACCCGTGTCCGGCACTCTGCACCCACGTGCTCTGCATGCCTACACCCTGCACCCCTGAACCCAGCACTGCACCCCCCCTCCCAGCTTTGCACCCCCCAGAACTCCACCCCCGGGCCCAGCACCCCCAGCCTCCACCGCATCCCCCCGGCGCCCCGACCCCCGTCCCGGTACCCGGTGCCGGAGCCTCCCGGGGCGGGGCGGTCGCCGCTTCCTCTTTCGGACGGACGGGGCGGGCGGGACGGGGGTGGTTAAAGGAGCCGCTCCCAGATTCCACCCCCCTCCACCCCCGCACCTCTCGTGTCCCGGACTCCCCCCGACTCCCGCACCCCGGTCCCTACCCGCACCCGCCCTCAGCACCCCGACCCCCGCAGCACCCATGATCCTGACCCCCCTGCACAGCACCCTGACCCCCCCGCACCCATCGCTCCCCTGTTGCACAAGAACCCTCAACCCCCCCCAACTCCCCTCCCCAGCTCCCCTGTACCCCCGCAGCCTCCCTCGCGCTCCCACCAGACCCCGGGCTGGGTGCTGCCTCCTCGGGGTGCCCCGTGGCAACTGAGTGCTGGTCCCGGGCACTCTCGCTTCCCCTTCCCGGCCCGGGGGATGTGCCAGAGTGCCTGGGCGGGGGGACACCCCAGTCTGGGGGTATGGGGCACTGCTTGCCCTGCTTGTCACCCCAAAGCCAGGGCCAGGAGCGTGCCCGGGTGCGTGGCATGGCAGGGTGCCCCGGGGCAGGGTGGGGGGACATGGGCGGGGCAGGAAGGGGTGACATCTTCAGGGCAGGATCTGACCCAGCCGGTAGCGGGGGATTCTTGACATGGGATTCTTACCAGGGTGCTGGTTCCTACAGGATGAGTGGGATATGTGGGGAACAGCCCCAGAAGGGTCATGGCAGTGGGGCAGGGGCAGCCCCCATCCTGAGGGCCCCCCATATCCCAGGCAAGGGTAGCCACCCTGGAGTGCCAGGGGGAAAGGGACCTTCCTGGGCATGGTCCTGGGAGCAGGATAAGGAGTGTCAGTGGGAACCCCGTGGGTCAGGGTGGTCCTGGGAGCAGGATGATGTGTGTCTATTGGTTGTGAAACGCTTGGGAAGTAGGATGAGGGCTGTCTATGGGACCCCATGGGTTAGGGTGGTCCTGGGAACAGGATGAGGGGTGTCTGTGGGATTCCAATGGATCAGGCTGGTCCTGGGAGTGGGGTGAGGTGTGTCTGTGGGGTCCCAATGGGTCAAGGTTCATGGTGGTGGTTTGGTGGCCGTGGGAGTTCCCCAGTGCCACTGTCCCATGGGGGAGGTCCCATCCCATCCTATCCCAGCCCTTGTCCCCACTGCCAGCCCCGTGGAGGCGGGGCCCAATCCTGCCCACCCCTGGCCATGGGGCCCAGCCACTGGCCCCACAGCATTTAGAGGCCCCCAAGCCTCAGCAGTGCCCGCCTGGACTCGTGCTCCTGCAGCCCCTGCACAGCTCCCAAGGTAGGCACTGCGGAGTCCCCAAAACTGGCATCCCCTGCGGGGCACCCCCTTAGCATCCCCTATGCAGGTGGGGGTTGTGAGGCATTGGGGGGGTTCCCTCGAGGAAGGGGGTGGGTGCCTTAGGCACGGAGAGGAATGGGAGGACAGATGTGGGGCTGCAGCTCTGTCCCCCAGATTTGGAGATGTCTTGTCCCTGAGGTCCCCATGGGTGACCCCACATCAGATGAGAAGCCCGGGCAGGTCAGTGTCCAGAGGCTGGCAGTCATCCCGGGAATCTCAGGCATCTCCTGGGGCCTCGGGCAGCAGCACCGGGCTGAGTCACCCCGACAACCAGGACGGCCCTGAGCACCAAACAGGCACCTTCAAAGGTGCCGCAGGCAGGTGACTCCTCTTGGGATTGAGCCGGCAGCTCCTGCGCTTCAATCCCGGCATAAGCCACCCCCGTCTCTCCCCAGCACCACCACACTCTCCATGGAGACCGGCAGCTCCTTCCAACAGCTTGGCATGCAGCAGCCCCTCGAGCCCCCTGGGCAGCAGCCCCTGGGCTATGGCAAGTGCAGCACCACAGGCAGTGATCCCGGCAAAGACGCTGGGAAAGCTGCTGGGTGCAGTGGAGGTAGTGGGATCGGGAAGGGACCAATGCCGCTGGTCTGCAGCACTGTATGGTGAGAACAAGGGGCTGGGGACAGGAGGGAGACAGGAGGGTGGGCTGGGGGGCTGTGGCAGTGCCAGTACAATGGGGACCCCAGGTTTGTGCTGGGGGACAAGTCTGGGATCTGTGGGCCACCACCTTCCAGCATGGCTCAAGGGAAAAGGTGGGATCTGCCAGGAACAGTGCCGTGTTGGGCTGCTTCCGGCAGCAAAGTAAAAACACAAGTGTGTGGACTCCCTGCCCTGTCCCCAGGGAATCTGGGGCTCCAGTTCGATGCTGGGATGGGATGACATGGATCTGGGGTGACATGATGCTCTGAAGAGCTGGGATGGGGCTGGGGTCCCTCTGACACCTCCATCCCTGCAGCGGGAACCCCTATGCTGGGCTGGTGAGCCACCTGCGGGCATCCTGGCTCTCCGGGAAGACACGGCCCTTGGAATACCGCACGGCCCAGCTGGAGGCCCTGGGACGCTTCCTGGATGATAAGAAGGAGGAGATCCTGGAGGCCACCGCTGCGGACATGGGCAAGGTGAGAGGGGGCTGGGATTCAGGGGCACTGTCATCATGTCTTTGGGGTCCTTCATGCCCCTTTGTCTGGCTGTTGCATCCTCGTGGGGGTCAAGGCATGGGATATCTCCTCTCCAGTGTCCTGTGTCCCTCTAGGTGTGCTTCAGGGCTGGTGTGGTGCATCCATAGGTGCTGAGTCCCCTCAGATCCAGGGACAGCGGAGGGACTGTGCTGCTGATCCCATCCCTGGTGCCCTGAAATTGGGCAAAGGCCACCTTGGGTGATGTGAAGTGGGAACATTCCGCCTTCTGTGTCCCCCCACACATCCAGCCCCTGGGGGTCCATGTGAGCTCCACAGAGGGTGATATCCTGCGGTGCTCCCAGCACACCCGGTATTACTGGCATTGTGCAAGGCGCTGGCGCTGCACATTCCCAGAGCCTTACAGGGACTGGTTTCACTGGCACAGTAGCATGGGCAGGGACCTGGATGTGGCCCAGGGTATTGCAGAATGCCAGGAGGTCTTGGATGATCCACTGACGAAGCGGAAGCATCCCCACCGTGGATAATTTTAGTGGTCTCAGCTCATCTCTCTGGAAGTGTTCAAGGCCAGATTGGACAGGGCCTGGAGCAACCTGGTCTAGTGGAAGGAGGCCCTGCCTGTGGCAGGGAGTGGCACTGGATGAGCTTTAAGGTCCTTTCCAACCCAAACCATTCCAGGGTTCCATGATAGGATCCTCACCTCTTTACCCGGCATCAGCGCAGCAGCCTGTGCCCTCAGCCACATCCTTCCGTGTCCTGCCGTCTTCCAAGGCTCCTAATTGCCTTGTTTATTGGGGGCGAGTCCTTCTCTTTCAGCCAGGCCTCGATAGGCATCAGTGCTCCGAGTGTGTCCATCACTTCTCCTAATTATGTCTAATTAGATCTGGTTGTCTAGTAATGAGCTTGTTATGCAGCCAGGCCCTCATAGTTGGATGGACGCTTCACCTGCCCTTACGTACCTGAGGTGCTGCCTCACCTCCAGCGACACCGGTTTCCCTCCGGTGCCAATGATCAGCAGCACTTGGATGACATCAGACTTAATGTCCCATCTCACAACCTTCATATCTCATCAAAACCCTTAATGACCCATCATTTTCCTCTTAGTGGTGATGCAACTGTCATCCCAGATCAAGAGCAGCCCCGTTGCTTCACCAGATTATCGCACGTGCCTACTGAACTCTCACGTCCGGGACGGTCTCACACCTCCTGGCACCGGTGTTTTGGGGTGGGGGAACATCGTGGGAATCAACAACCAGCCTTCCCAACCCTAAAGTAGTGTGGGGATGGGAGGAAGGCTCTAATCCAGGGATGTTTTGGAGTTGGAGGAGTCCAAAATACGGTGTCACAGCACAGGAGCTTTGCTCCTCCGGCTCTCCACAGTCATGAAGGGGCTCCACTGAGCCTGCTGGGTTATCCCTGGTGCCTTCACAGTTCTCCCACAAGTGTGATCTTGATCTGTGCTCCATGGCTATGGAGAGGACCCACTTCTCCATCTTGAGGGGTTTAACTAAGCTGTGGTTCTTTGTATTTCCCTTTAATCAAGGTCTTAAGTTCAGCTTTTGTCCACGGGCCCAGGGAGGGAGCTCCAGGCTCTGCTTCCAGCTTGAGTATCCAAGTGCTTGGGATGCAAGAGCACTGTCCCATCCCAGGGCAGCAGTGTGGAGCTGCCTTTGGCACGAGGACCAGCTCTTCTGGAGCTCCAGTGATATTGCTCTGTTTCCTCTTGGCTTGTGGCTCTGTTGCTGGTTCACAGCGCTGAGCTCAGGAATTTGTTAAATATCATGAAAATGTTCAATTTTAGTTTTTTTTTTTTTTTCCTCTGGTCAGATACCTATTTTCATAAAATTTCCGGGACACTGATATTCCCTGGGAGTTACAGGGGGTGATGGCAACTTCTGCTTAAGAGCTTCTCCTGCTCTTCATGCTTGGAAGAGGGGGGAGACTCCTCCTGGGGTGACAGGGTTGGTGTTGGGGTGATGAGGTAAGTGTTGGGGTGGCCGGGTCGATGCCAGGATCTGTGCTGGCGTGACAGAGTCCACGTTGGGGTCAGTGTTGAGGTGACAGGGTTGGTGTTGGGGTGACATTTTGTGATGTCTGTCCCCAGCCATCCTTTGAGGCTTACTTCAGCGAGATCCTTCTCTGCAAGAACGAGCTCAACGTCACCCTCAACAACCTGTGCCACTGGATGAAGGACGAGCACGTGGACAAGAATCTGGTAAGAGGGAGGCTCTAGGAAAAGGGAAGGCAGGGAAAAGGGGTTGCTAGTGGGGAGGGCAGCGCTGAGGTCGTGGACGTTCTCACAGGTGATGCAGCTGGACTCCGCCTTCATCCGCAAGGATCCGTACGGGGTGGTGCTCATCATATCGCCCTGGAACTACCCCATCCACCTTTTCCTGGTGCCCCTCATTGGGGCCATTGCTGCTGGTGAGCCCCACCTTACAGTCCCCTGGCCCAGAGGATCCTGGCAGTGCCAGGGTCTCGTCCCCAGAAGGGCTGGCTGTCACCGTGTCACTGTGCTGATGTCCTGTCGATCTCCCCCCAGGGAACTGCGTCATTGTCAAACCCTCAGAGATATCCAAGAACACCGAGAGACTCGTTGCTGAAACGCTGAGCTGTTACCTGGACAATGTGAGAAGCTCTTCTTGTCCTTGCCCCTGTTCCCAGGCCATGGTGTTCTCAACTCTGCTTCGCAACCCCAACCTTACATATCTTCCATGTGCTGAACCTCCTTTCTCCACGCCTAGCCGGTGTCCCAGCATCCCAGGATGCTGTTGGTGGGGACAGATGGTGACAGGAGGTATCCTATTCCCTTGCAGGACTGCTTTGCTGTGGTGACTGGGGGTGTGCAGGAGAGCACAAGGCTGCTG